TGCCTTTTCATCTCACCTCCGGACAGAAGCTGCCCGTTTAGTTTCATGTATCTACTTGAGCTAAGAAGCACACTCTTCATGAGTATCATTTTATGTCCCACAGAACAGTCTAATCTTTGTCTGAAGAGGTGGCCAAATCCTTATAATTTTTACCTGAGTCCTATCTAACTGGTCTTCACAGTGCTTCAGCCCCAGCAATCTTATAACTAAATTCTATCGATATTTTCTCATTTAAAGTCTAAACTCCCTAGAAGTCTGGCAGTAAGCACAATCTGACTTTTGCCTATACATTTTTCACTGAAACAATTATGTATCTATTATATTTATTTCTCTTTAAGAATGTAAACTCCTTATGTACAAGGATCATGTTACCATCACAATAAACATATTGAATGAGTAAATACTTCTCCAGTCCTTCTGGTCACTTCCTCACACTTACCCAGTTTCCAAGCACCTTGAATTACTTGCCACTCTGCCATGATGCCTCGCTGTCACACTTCTGCACCTTTATGTATGCTGTGCCCCCACTCAGAATGCTCTCCATCTTATTCTCCACCTGAGTAGGTTTTATATTTACCCTTAAGATTCAGTTGAACCACCACCTCTTTTTAAAGAACTTCTACAAACCATTGTTCCTAATATTGCTTTGTGCTCCCATAGCTCACTGTATTTACTAAGCTATAACGTAATTGTTAATTTATTTGCCTGTCTCTTCCACCAGACTATGAAGTCCTTAAAGGCATAAACAGTGACTATCTTTGCTGTATACCCAGTACCTAACACAATGCCTGGCACTTAGCGGGCCCTCAATAAATACTTAGTGAATAAAGCATGATTCTGTCTTGTATAGGGATACTAGACTACATTGCCTAAATAATCTATAGTGCAGTGGTTAAGCGTTTGGCTGCTAACCAAAAGGTCGGCAGTTCAAAACCACCAGCCATTCCTTGAATACTCTATGGGGCAGTTCTACTCTGTCCTGTGGGGTAGCTATGAATCGGAATTCACTCCACAGCAACAGGTTAGGTTTTTTTCGTGTAAGAACATTCTAACAAAAAACAAAAGATACAAGGTTTCTCTTTTAAAAACACATATGATACTCTACTGTGCACCACATTTTAGTTTCAAAAAGAAATATACCCTAAATGCATAGTTACCTCAACCCCATTTTGGAAATAAATAATGTACAAATTTTGTATAATGTATACATTTTTATAATTGAATATATTACTTTTGGAGAAGATATAAAAGAGGATTAAATTTATGCAGTAAAAACTGTGTGTATCACACTAAAATATTCAACTCTGTCTTCAAAGATACCCTACAGTTAGTTACAAAAATCGATCTTTAAAAATATTTTATTTTAAATTAGCTAAATTCAATCAAAACTATCTGTCTTATCAAACCAATTTATGTTTGTAGATACTACCTAAATCGTTCCACTTTATATGAGGTTGTTTAAAATAGGCCCCTCATAAGACAGTAAATATAAACAGATTTTAAGATCAATAGAGAGAGTCAGAGCCTTTGTCTGCATTTTTCTATTTCGACCACACACATTAATGGACCTAAAATTATAATAGTAAATATTATTTTAACAGAAGAACTGACTTATTAATCACATCTGTCAAAGTACCATATATGGACTCATATAGCCATGCTACTGATCTAAGACACAAGGTAGAGAGCCAGAAGGCTTACCCACATGGAAGAAAGGGAAACATCATACAGCTTTCTTAACATAGAAGACTTGTTTCAAGTCTCCTCTCTATTTAAAAAAAAAAAAATCTCTTGGTAACAGCTTTATTATCTGAAGACAAAAACAAGGCTTAAAATTCACTCAAGTGCTTTTTGCCCCATCAATACTTTATCCTTTCATGGCCACACATTTTAGAGGCAAATCAAGAACAATGAGTCAAAAGGAGACTTTCACATATGCTGAAAATATCTGCTTAAGTTAACAAGTTGTTTTTCATATAATAGTACAGAAATAATTCTGAGAGCTGACACAACATATCTAATAAATCATTTTAATTTCACATTTAAGTACAAAAAGTTCTATAATAGTTTTTAAAAAGAGAAAAACTAGTAAGCAAATGGATCTATCCTGAAATACAATGCTGTCAATGACAGGATAATATCCATACGTCTACAAGGAAGACCAGTTAATACGACTATTATTCACATTTACACACCAACCACTAATGCCAAAGATGAAGAAATTGAAGATTTTTACCAACTTCTGCAGTCTGAAAATGACAGAACATGCAATCAAGATGCATTGATAATTATTGATGATTGGAATGTGAAAGCTGGAAACAAAGAAGAAAGATTGGTAGTTGGAAAATATGGCCTTGGTGACAGAAATTATGCCGGAGATCCCATGATAGAATTTTGCAAGACCAACGAGTTATTCACTGGAAATACCTTTTTTCAACAATATAAACAGCAACCATACCATGGACCTTGCCAGATGGAATACACAGGAATCAAATCAATTACATCTGTAGAAAGAGCCAATGCAGAAGCTCAATAATATCAGTCAGAACAAGGCCAAGGGCTGACTCCAGAACAGATAATTAACTGCCCATATGCAAGTTCAAACTGAAGCTGAAGAAAATTAAAACAAGTCCACGAAAGCCAAAGTACCACCTTGAGTATATCCCACCTGAATTTGGAGACCATCTCAAGAACAGATTTGACACATTGAACACTAATGACCGGAAGACCAGATGAGTTGTGGGATGACATCAAGAGCATCATACATGAAGAAAGCAAAAGGTCATTAAAAATACAGAAAAGAAAAAAGAGATCAAAATGGATGTCAGAAGAGATTCTGAAATTTACTCTTGAACGTAGAGTTAGCTACAGCAAATAGAAGAAATGATGAAGTAAAAGAGCTGAACAGAAGATTTCAAAGCAAGGCTTGAAAAGACAAAGTAAAATATTAAAATGAAATGTGCAAAGACCCACAGTTAAAAAACCAAAAGGGAAGAACACACTCGGCATTTCTCAACCTGAAAGAAGTGAAGGAAAAATTCAAGCCTCGAACTGCAATACTGAAGGATTCTATGGGCAAAATATGGAATGACAGGAAGCATCAAAAGAACTTGGAAGGAATACATAGAGTCACTGTACCAAAAAGAATTGGTTTCAGGTTGAGAGGGTTAAAATATTCATTCTAGAATATTAAAGAAAGATCTTGATCTCTTTGTAGGGATTTTTCAACACAGAAAACAAAGATCTAGAAATAATATCATACCTCATAACTGAACTGAAGATAAATATAGGGTGGAAAAAGAATAATTTGCCATTATTTTTTCTCATCTTAAATTTTTTAAAAAGTTACCACTTCAAATCAGTAGCAAAATTATAGAAAATAGGTCTTTACAGGGTTTCAAGTAAACAAATTCATAATTTCTAGTAAAAAAACAAAAAAAAAAGCACTCCAACTGACACTACACCCTCCAGTGGGCAAGCACCCATAGAAAATATAAAAAGATTTAGTTGGATTTTCTACTTAGTTAAATCAGTCCTACAACTAATGAAATGATGGCTCTAAAAACCCTCATAACAGTTCACACTACTTAGTATCTAAGTTAAAAGCAGCAAGGATTAAAATAATAATTTAAATCTTGTAGTGGAATAATGTAAAAATATAAAATTGTGATCTGCTTCACCTTTCCTTAAAAGACAAAGTGCTATTAGATTCTTATTTCCTTAATTTATAAAAGAATAAAACATAAACAGAATAAATTCATATAAAGATGTATAATTAAAAGATAAAGTATCTGTTATATCACAAACTGCAAAGCGCTAGGCACTAATATTTTAAAGCAACATCCAAAAATTATGGTTCCTTAGTGAGAACTGTAGCAGAAAAGCAGTATGTTCATTAAGTTTTTCAGGAAAACAACTTACATTATCACCTGGTAATATTTAGTGTTACTGGTCTCATGAGGCTATGCAGTCACTACTCAGAAATATAAACACACTTAGAATAAAATTAAAGGACTACCTAAAAGAACCCTTTTTCTATATGGCTAATGTTTCAGCATTTAAATGATGTAATAGAAGCAAAGGCTAGATTAAAAATATTCCACACTGGTCCAAATATCATTTTAAACTATTCCCATTAGCCTCTCAAAGTCCTTATTTAGTAAGCATGTTAGAGAAATTTACAACAGAATACAAAACATATATTTACTACATACATCTAGAAATCATGTTTGAAGATGCACATTTCCCAAAATGCATCAGAGTTTTTGAAAATATATACTCTAGGAAAAACTAGTACAGCTAAGACTATTTAAGGTCTTACATTAGGCTATGAGACTAGCAATTAAAAGACAACAGTGACATCTAGTGGGCATATCAAATACATGCCACACATATCTTGAATGGCAACATTGTATTTCTAGCATTTCACAAATCTCAACCAGCTTGAGGACTTATAGGACAAATTTTTAGTTATAAACCAAAACAAGCCAACAATATCCCCAAAAGGCTACTCAATGAGTGATCCAATCATCTGATAAATACAAAATGTTTAACAATTAAGGTATAAGAAGTATATATCTCAAGTCTTTACAGCACTAAACACTTATCAAATATATGACTAAAAGAGGCTATCAATAGGTCTGATGGGCATATGATAAGAAAAGGAATTTAAAAGGCTTTGAATGAAAAAGCACCGGGATAAATACAGAAAGTTACAAAGAAAACTACAACTGAGTTATCTGTGAATTTATTCAAGTGTTGAAAGCATAGATTAACCGGTATGTTCTGTCCGACAAAAATAAAAACTAAAAGAAGAAAATCTCATTAATGATAATTTTTTAAAAACTGAAATTAGTTCTCATTCTTTAAATGTTTATCTTGAAAAAGACCAGGTAGTCTACTCAACAGAGGGACAAATTCAACCATGGTACACGTAATAAAGCATTTTTTTCATTAAAAAAAAAAAATATATATATATATATATATATATATCTCCCCAGGTGGACAATCTCCTTTCCTATTCTTATTTGTCAATATGAAAACAAGTTTCACAAGAGAACAACAGTGCACGTAATGAGAAAGCAATGAAGGCATATATGATTTTTGCTATTTTGTTGCTAACTCAGGTAAGCAAACACTAAGTCCAGGTCTCAACTTAAGTGGAATACTTCAAAGATCAAAAGTGCTTCTCAGATCTCTCAGAGCCACCAAATTTAAACTATTTTAATGATTATTTAAGCCCAATGCTTTTCCAACAAGAAAAAAATGCTAAGGGCCAGAATTTCACAAGTTGATAATTATTAAAAGTCACTGGAAATATCTCTGAATGTAAATATGTTGTGACTACATAGTATAAAATTCAGGTTGTGATAGCACTAGGTCAATAGTTTCAAAAAGTTACACACAGGATAAATTGTGGTATATTCAAACAATGGAACACAAAAAGGAATGAAGTACTGATACATGCAACAACATGGATGAATAATAAAAAAAAAAAAAAATTGTGCTGAGTAAAAGAAGTCTTCCATAAAAGCGTATAACCTGTGTGATTTTATTTACATGATGTCCTAGAACAGGCAAAAACGAATCTATGGTGGAAAAAAATAAATAAAACCAGAACAATGATTACCTCTGAGGGTAGGATAGATGTGGAGATGACTGGGAAGGGGCACGAAGGAATTTTCTGGAGTGAAAGAAATGCTCTATATCATAATAGGAGTTTGGGTTACATGGATGTATGTATTTACCAAAATTCACCAAATAATATACTTAAGATTTATACAAAATTCTATGTAAATTTTATCCTTAAAAAAACATCTTAAGCAAATATTGGTAACTTTAGTTATTACATATCATTTTGAAGTGTTTGGGGTGAAGTGTACTGATGTTTGCAACTTATTCTGAATGTATAAAAAAAATTAGATTGATGGAAGCACAGATGGGCATTTGTAGTTAGAGAATAATACTTTGTAATAAAGCAAATATAGCAAAACATTAACAATTGTAGAATCTAGTTGGTGTATATATTGGAGTTCACTGTATAACTCTCTCAGCTTCTCTATATGTCTGAAAATTTCCATTATAAACTGTTGGGAAAAAATTAAGATGACAATCAGAATTCAAAAGAAAATATCATATACAAACATGCTTTCTTAAATATTAACAACTTTCCTTTTATATATAAATATCTTAATCTGTCTAATCTAATGTCAAATGTGACTATTATCTAAAGAACAAAAGTTAAAGGATGACACATTCTTAAAAATTTAAAAGACATACCCGAATTTCTTGAAGGTTGTGAAAATTATTTCCTACTCTAACCGAGATCTTGCTTGGTGTATAGCTTTCATCGGATTTGTAGTCTGCATAAATACATAATGTCTTCACTGTTGTTTTTCTTCTAAAAGCAATAAATTAAAAACAACACATCATTTATCATATGGAAAGATTATTTCTAAAGCACCTTACCTTCTGATTTAAAAATCAGTTTGCTAAAATGAATATTTGAATCAATGATTTTCCATTTCCTTTCCTTTCAATAATGATGAAAATGAAGAACATGTAAAAACACAGGTACAGATATAATAATATCTTACTTATATAGACATCTCTTATCTAGAACATGGCCAAGAACCAGATATGAGCAAAGAAGGAACAGTTCAGTCATAATAGGTACCTTAGAGTACAAACATAAGGATTTCAGTCTTCATTTTTATTTTAGACAAAGACATTATTCTAACAAGTTTAGTTTTCTTTACTAGTTAATTACTTAATTCCCTGTATTACTACTTGAAAATGACTAGCTAAGTGAGAAATTAAATTCAGCAGACAGAAAAAACATTTTTTTATAAAATAGAAGGCATAATCTATTACTTAATGCAAGAAATCAAACTCTGATCTTAAATATATTTATATATATATCTTAGGGAAATAAGAAAAGAACATATAAGAAAATTAAACTCAGAAAGAATACAAGTGGTAAAAAAAATATGAAAAGATATTCAATGTCTAATAATCAAAGAAACAGAAATTAAAACACATATTAGTTTTTATTATCATACTGGCAAATATTAAAATGGTTGATAATACTCAAATTTGTTTAGAAAAAGAAAACTTCATAGCCAGCTAGTGGGTATGTAACATTTGATCCACTAAATCAACTACTCAGAATGCATTAAAAGACAACAGTAATAAGACTATTCAAAAAATAGATGTAAAAAATCATTTATTGTCCTGTGGTTAAAATGCCAAAAAATTATAAACCTATATATCCATCTCAATAGGGAATGATTAAATAAATTATATCCATTCAATGAAATACTATACAACTATTTTAAGTGATTATGCAAGTATATGGCTACAACAGAAAAAAACAAATTAGAAAATAGTATATATACAAGCATAGCATTTGGGGGAAGACAAATATAAAAAACAAAAGTATATAAACGTATACAGATGTATAGAAAAAGACCTAGATGGAATCATACAAAAATAGTAAAAGTAATTATTCGGATAGGGTGGAACTATGACAGATCTTCATTTTCTTCTTTATGATCTTCTATATTTTCTGAACAGTTTTTCACAATAAGCATGTATTATTTTGTTTATCAGGAAAAAAATTAGACAATTTAAACTATCAACCAAAAAAACCATTAGAAGTCTATTTAAATGTGCTTTAAAAGTTAAGTTCCGGTATAAACTGGTACTAACTTAATAACAATGAGCTCCTTGAACAGAAGGAGTTTGTGTCAAAAGTCAGCCCATAAAAACAGCAGGGGCTCTGTAGCTCTTAGTGAGGGGCCAAGCTATTCATCAGAAAGGAGTGGAGAAGTTAAGGACTTCTCTTTAAATAATAAAGACAGATCAAGATGTAAAATGCTAACTACCCAGAAACTGCTGACAGGATAAATACCATTACTAGGCTTTCAAAAGAGGCCAGAGGTATCAAACTGACATCTTTCTCTCTTGGCTGGCCCAGGAAGGAGACAGGAGAGGAAGCAAGGAAGAAATTGGAAATGTTTAAAGGCAAAAATTTCCCTGATGAGCCATAAGCAGGCAGTAAAAGTTCTTTCTTACTACAGACAGATCAAAAGATCATGAAGATTACTCTTAAGAACTTTTTTTAAAATGAAAATATCAAGCTTAGAATACTTTTATTTCCAGGTTATGAAAGTCAGAGTAACTTAATCACTGGAACCCAGAAAAGAATCAGGGTGAGATTAATAAGGTAAAGAATAAAAATAACACTACATAATGGTAATAAGAACAACAATAGCAGCATATAGCAACTTTGCTGTCTGGCCCAGAAGAAATGCTTTATATGTACAGGCAGTCCCCGGGTTACAAACGTCTAACTTACGGACAACTCCTACTTGCCCTTTAATGTTACGTAAATTTGCCCTCACTTTGAAACAACTGAACCAACAGGTGTAGTCACAACAAATTCCTCCTCACAATCACCTTCATTTGCTGCTCATGCAGCTTTTAAATCACTGAAAAGGCTCTAAACCTTTTCTTGCACTAAACAAAACAAAACCCATTGACATCAAGTCGATTCCGATTCATAGGGACCCCACAGGACAGAGTAGACTGTCCCAATAGGGCTTCCGAGGAGCAGCTGGTGGATTCGAACGGCAACCTTTTGGTTACTGCCGAGCTCTTAACCACTGCACCACCAGGGTTCCTTTCGTGCACTAAAGCAAGGCTAAATAAGAACTGTATGCACTTGTTCTGACTTACTTACAATTTCTTACAGATACAGTCAGGAACAGATCTCATTTGTAACCCAGGGACTGCCTGTATTATCTCATTTATTCCTCAACCTTATGATATAGGAACTACTATCATCTCCATTTCACTGATTAAAAACAAAAAAACTATTAGTAACACTCAGGTTAATAACTGGCTTAAAGTCAAAAAGCTAATAGGTGGGCACAGTTGGGATTCAAACGTGCATCTGTCTGCCTCACATGATCTTAACCACTATACACACTACTGCCTTCCTGTTACTTAATCCTACTTAGTTTGTACAACAGTCATTGATATCAGTTTACAGTGATATGTAGAGGTTTGCAGTTCTTTAAATTTTATCTAAACCCTGGGTTCTTATCCTAAGGTCCATGTATCCCCAGAAATTATATGCGCAATTTATGCTATGTATATACTTTCATCAGATTTGCCAAGGAAACTGTGATTCACCAAGTTTAAAATTATTACTCTAAAAGTTACCCTTAAAAACTGTAAAAAACATTTATCAGTTTTATCTTATGATGATTTTTTAAAAATAATATTCATGCTGTTTCTCAAATATGAGAAGATTAAATACACAGATTCTAAGATATAATGGCAGCTACCCAAATTGCTCAAATCATCATACTAATAATCACCATATACTGAATGCCAGGCATTGTGCTAAACTCTTGGGATGAAGTATCGGGGGAGGAGGAAAAAAGGAGGATAATACTTCTTCACCATTCCTGATGACATGAGTAACACTCCTGACCTCTTTCTGTCCCCTCACCCATCTCCTTTCTCATGAGAAAGAGCTGCTGACAGGAAGCAAACATTTGCTCTGTTCCTTCATGCCACAAAAATAGGGGCAGGCTCTACCTGGTCTAGCACTTTTATAACTGGATGGGTAAGTCTGTTTAATTCTAGGGTTCAACATTAGAAAATTCACCTGACTGCAGATATACCGTAAGTCCCCTTCTCAAGTATCAGCTTTGTCAGTTTCACAAAGGTGTTATTTTGGCCTCTATCTGCTGACTCTTGAATAACTTCCCAACTGGTTTAGAACTCATGAACTTCCAATAGGAGACATTAGTGGAAGATCCTCCTAGTTGCCTGCCTAATATCTTGTTTCCCTTTCTTTCTTCACAGCATCCAGTTAGGTGGAATTTCATTAAATATCTTGGATCACGAGGCAATCTTGAAGACAGAATCGCTAAGAGTCGTGGAATGGAAAAAGAGAAGGAATTTGGGTCCATAATCACCTTATGGGGCTGCCATACCACTAGACTGCCAGACTCCTCTTACGTGAGAGAGAAATAAACTTCTACCTTGTTTAAAACATTGTTATTAGAAACTCTGTTACTATCAACAGTCATTCCTAATTAATACAGCATTATTATGCCCACATTACAGATGAGGAAACTGAGGCTCAGGTCAGGTTAAGTAACTAGCCCACATTTATACATCTAGTAAGGTGCAGACTCAGAATTTGAATCCAGGGCTGTTTGACTGCACTACATTTAAGAGTAACTAATAACTCCTGGGGCACAAGACTTAAAACCAAAAAACAAAATGATTATAAAATTCTGTTTATCATTTGCTGTTAGCATGCCAGACACGCTACTGCCAGAAGACTGAGACATAAAAAAAACATATTTAATAAAGATTCCACATGTTGTTGTTGCATGCCATCAGGGTGATTCTGACTTACAGCGACCCTATTAACATGTCTAAAACAAAAAGCAAATTATTTACATTTACAAATGACAACGTTTTTCTTTGTTCCTGATACAATGGGGGAAATGTCCTTTGTGTAAAAGTTTGTTTCTAATCAATGTAACAGAATGCTACATGGAAATTTTCACTGAAAACTAACACAATGAAGACCATGTTTTAACAGAATATGTGAGACCAAATGCAAAATTTGCAATGGGTGTGATAAAAACAAACAACAAAAAAGAAAAACCAGGAGTGTTTACCCATGAAGAAATAACTGCTGCAGGAGTAGCCCTCCCACCATAAGCAACTAGAATTCTGGACAACATACAGGAAACAAGTGTTTTAGACACCGAGCAACAGGCAGAAGAAGCCTGTGAGCCCTAAAAGAAAGGAAACAAATGAGGTGACCCTATGAACAACCTGGTTTTCTGACTGAAGGTAATTTCTGTACTGCAATGCGAGAAAGGATAAGCCAAACAGAATCTGGCAGTCTCGCTGAGCTGAGGAAAAACTCCAGAAAAAAACTCCAGAAGTCTGTATGGGTCCCCTGGAGTCCAGGTGGAAGTTGTATTGCCTTTTATGGCCCTGCCTTAGAAATCACAGTGTCATAACATCCACATTCTATCAGGCAAAACACAGCCACAAAGCCCTGCACACTTTCAAAGAAAATCTAACACCTACTCATAATAAGGAGCCCTGGTGGTATAGTGGTTAAGAGCTCGGCTGCTAACCAAAAGGTCGGCAGTTTGAATCTACCAGCCACCTCCTTGGAAACCCTGTGGGTCGGTTCTACTCTGTCCTGTAGGGTTCCTATGAATGGGAATCGACTCGACGGCAACAGGTACGGGTGTTCATAATAAAAAGTCTCAGCAAATTAGTAATAGAAGGGAACTTCATTAACCTGATAACGTGAAGGATTACCTTAGTTTCTATGTCAGAAGGATGAACAAC